GTCAAAACTTATAAAAATATGAGAATAAATCCCTAATTCAGCTTTTCAAGCTGTCCGGTCTCTGTTCTGGGTCATCCCCTCAAAGCGTCGCTCTGAGGATCCCATCCCATTATCCCATGGATCCCATTATCCCATGGATCCCATTATCCCATGGATCCCATCCCATTATCCCATGGATCCCATCCCATTATCCCATGGATGGGATGCCCATACCTCAGGCCGGAATGGCAGGAGCTCCATCCTGCCGGCGAGGTGCGAGTCCCTCATGGCGGCGAGGTTTGAGCTCCATCCTGGCGGCGAGGCACAAACTCCCTCATGGCAGCGAGGTGTGAGTCCCTCATGGCAGTGAGGTTTGAGTCCCTCATGGCGGCGAGGTTTGAGCTCCATCCTGGCGGCGAGGCACAAACTCCCTCATGGCGGCGAGGTGTGAGTCCCTCATGGCAGCGAGGTGTGAGTCCCTCATGGCAGTGAGGTTTGAGTCCCTCATGGCGGCGAGGTTTGAGCTCCATCCTGGCGGTGAGGCACAAGCTCCCTCATGGCCGAGTGGCGTTGAGCTCCCTCAGGGTGCAGCGGCCCGAGCTCCCTCATGGCGGCGTGGCAGGAGCATTTCATGGCAGAGCAGCACAAACCCGCTGAGGGCAGAGTGGTGTGAGCTCCATCCTGCAGGTGATGCACGAGCTCCATCACGGCACAGAGGCACCAACCCCCGCAGGGCAAAAAGGCGCGAATCCCCTCATGGCAGAGGCGGGAATCTCCTCAGGGGAAGAGGCAGGAATCCCCTCATGGCAGGGGCGGGAATCCCCTCAGGACAAAATGGCGCGAATCCCCTCAAGGCAAAAAGGCGCGAATCCCCTCACGGAAGAGGCGCGAGTCCCTCACGGAAGAGGCGGAAATCCCCTCACGGAAGAGGCGGGATCCCACTCAGAACAAAAAGGCGCGAGGCCTCCCTGCCGGCGGAGGCGCGAATCCCCTCAGAGTAAAAAGGTGCGAATCTCCTCGGGGCAGAGAGGCGAGAGGCCCCTCATGGCAGAGGCGGGAGCCCCCACAGGACAAAAAGGCGCGAGCCCCTCCACGGCAGAGGCGGGAGCACCCTCATGGAAGAGGCGCGAATCGCCTGAGGACAGAGGCAGGAGCCCCCTCATGGCGACAAGGCACGGGCCCCCTCAGGGCAAAAAGGCGCGAGCCCCCTCATGGAAGAGGCGCGAGCCACCTTAGGACAAAAAGGCCCCCAGTCGCCTCAGGACAGAGGCGCGAGCCCCTCATGGCGGAGGCGGGAGCCCCCTCAGAGCAAGAAGGTGCGAATACCCTTCAAGGCAGAGGCGCGAATCCCCTCAGGACAGAGGCAGGAGCCCCCTCACGGCAGAGGCGCGAATCCCCTCATGGCGGAGGCGGGAGCTCCCTCATGGCGGAGGCGCGAGCCCCCTCATGGCGGCGAGGCTCGAGTCCCCTCAGCCCCCTCATGGGATCGGCTGAGGGCCGGGAGCGCGAGGAACCCTTGGAGGATCAATGGGTGCCCTCAGGACGTCTGATCATGGCCGAAGGTCGCGAAACTCAGAGTCTATGAGAGCTGAAACCCTTCAGGTAACTGCTGAGGCGGCTGTAATAATTAGTGGTGTCTGATAAACCTCTCACAGGGTTTGCTGAGGGCTGGGCGGGATGCTGGAAGCCTCACGGGTCTGCTGTGACCCCTCCCGGATGTGCTGAGACCTCTCCCCGGTGCTCTGAGATCCCTCCCGGGTGTGCTGAGATCCTCTCGGGTGTGCCGAGGGTGCTGAGACCCCTCTCGGGGGTCCTGAGACCCCTCCCGGGTGTGCTGAGGGTGCTGGAATCTCTCCCGGGTGTGCTGAGGGTGCTGGAATCTCTCCCGGGTGTGCTGAGACCCCTCCCGGGTGTGCTCTGAGACCCCTTTCGGGTGTGCTGAGGGTATTGAGACCCCTCTCGGGTGTCCTGAGACCCCTCCCGGCTGTACTGAGGGTACTGAGACCTCTCCCGAGCGTGCTGAGACCTCTCCCGGGTGCTCTGAGACCCCTCCCTGGTGTACCGAGACCCCTCCCGGGTGTGCTGAGACCCTCCCGGGTGTGCTGAGACCTCTCCTGGGTGTGCTGAGACCCCTCCCTGGTGTACCGAGACCCCTCCCGCGTGCTCTGAGACCCCTCCCGGGTGTGCTGAGGGTGCCGAGATCCTTCCCGAGCGTGCTGAGATCTCTCCCGTGTGCTCTGAGACCCCTCCCGGGTGTACCGAGACCTCTCCCCGGCGTGCTGAGACCCCTCCCGGGTGTACTGAGACCCCTCCCGGGCGAGCTGAGACCTCTCCCGGGTGTGCTGATGGTGCTGAGACCCCTCCCGGGGGTCCTGAGACCCCTCCTGGGTGTGCTGAGGGTGCTGAGACCCCTCCCGGGTGCTCTGACACCTCTCCCGGGTGTACCGAGACCCCTCCCGGGCGTGCTGAGACCCCTCCTGGGGGTTCTGAGACCCTCCCGGGTGTGCTGAGACCCCTCCCCGATGGACTGAGGGTACTGAGACCTCTCCAGGGTGTACCGAGACCCCTCTCGGGCGTACTGAGGGTGCTGAGACCCCTCCCGGGTGCTCTGAGACCCCTCCCTGGTGTACCGAGACCTCTCCCGGGTGTGCTGAGGGTGCTGCAGCCCCGCCTGGGTGTACCGAGACCCCTACCGGGTGTACTGAGACCCCTGCCGGGTGGGAGACCGGAGGGTGCTCTGAGGGTACCGAGACCCCTCCCGAGGGTGGCCGAGGGTGCTGAGATCCCTCCCGGGTGTACTGAGACCCCTCCCGGGCGAGCTAAGACCTCTCCCGGGTGCGCTGATGGTGCTGAGACCTCTCCAGGGTGTACCGAGACCCCTCCCGGGTGTGCTGAGACCCCTCCCGAGTGTGCTGAGACCCCTCCCGGGTGTGCTGAGACCTCTCCAGGGTGTGCTGAGACCCCTCCCGGGTGCTCTGAGGGTACCGAGACCCTTCCCGAGGGTGACCGAGGGTGCTCAGACCCCTCCCGGGTGCTCTGAGACCCTCCCGAGTGTGCTGAGACCCCTCCCGGGTGTACCGAGACCCCTCCCGGGTGTGCTGAGGGTACCGAGACCCCTCCCGGGTGTACCGAGACCCCTCCCGGGCGTGCTGAGATCTCTCCCGGGTGCTCTGAGACCCCTCCCGGCCGTACTGAGGGTGCTGCAACCCCTCCCAGGTGTACCGAGACCCCTCCCGGGTGCTCTGAGACCCCTCCCGGGTGTGCTGAGGGTGCCGAGACCCCTCCCGGGTGTACTGGGACCCCTCCCGGCTGTACCGAGACCCCTCCCGGCTGTACCGAGACCTCTCCCGGCTGTACTGGGACCCCTCCCGGCTGTACCGAGACCCCTCCCGGCTGTACTGGGACCCCTGCCGAGTGCTCTCAGACCCTTCCCCGTGCACCGAGACCCCTCCCGGTCGTTCTGAGGCTGCTCCGGCCGCTCCGCTGGCCGAGCCGCCCGGAACCTCTCCCGGCCGATCCCCCCGGGCCTCGCGCGGGAACACGTGAGGGGCGCGCGGCGCTCCCTGAGGGGCGGCCGGGCTCCCTCCATCTTGTGAGCCCCGCCGCGCCGTCCCGCCCGCTTCCTCCCTCCCTCCCTCCCTCCCTCCCTCCCTCCTCCTCCTCCTCCTCCTCCTCCTCCTCCTCCTCGTCATTGTCTGCGAGCGGCGGCGGCGGCGCTTATAAGGCGGCGGGCATTGCCCGGATGTGAGCGGCGGGGGAAGCGGCCGGCCCGGGGGGGTGG